TATCCACCTAAGAGGGAACTGTTTCGCGTTTGGACAAAACGCATCGATATAATTAATTAATGTTCATTATGCTAAACCATTTAGCAACACTGTCTATATATGAATAAGAAACATAGTGTGACTGTCGGATTCCTGGCACATTACGATATTGACTGAAGCGTACCCGTCCTGTCTAAGTATAAAACTACTATAGACTATAGTACGTAATTCAATGTGGTGTCGTTATGCTTCCCCTTTAATTTCAACAACTGCGCATATCTAAAAAGACATTCGTCTACATAGCATTATGTTACGCTCTAGTGCTCAGCCGACCATTCCATCGCGTGCGTAAAACCTTGCTTGTAAGCAATGAGAACAACATAAAAACCTAGCAACATAAGATTATTTTTTCAAACGAAATTAGACAAATCTTAACGTTACGATAATTTTATCAAGAATATTCCTTAGTTGGTTTTAGAAGAAATGTTTTATCTTAAGTTAGGGAAAGAATGTTGTAAGGACGAAAATTCTTAAGATGTATATGATGTTTATGGAATATGGGCCTTGAAGTAAAATATGCTCTATATGTAAAAGAAAAGTGAAGGAAGTAGTTGTAAACAAATTTTACCAAGTTAGATTCAACAACTATATAATAAATAAATATTTTTGAATACACGCAAGTCCTTTTGGCAAAAACAAGAAAAAAAACTTATGCACGTATATTTCGAAACAAAATCATAACTGAAGTAGCGTCTCCACAGAAACAAATAAATTTAGGTCAAAACAACGTGACAGAATCAAATAAGTTAAGGTAGAGATCAAAGCAATACCATAGAATAAAAAATGTTCAGGTAGAGATGAAAACAACGCGACAGGATAAATAAGTTATGGTAGAGTTCAAACAACCCCATAAGTTAAAGTAGAAATCAAACCAAGGCTAAAGAATAAAATAAATTGAGGTTGAGATCAAAACAGCCATAGAATCAAATTAGTTAAGGCGCGGGTCAAAACAACGCCAAAGAATCAAATAAAATTTTAAAAAATGACTATAACAAAACATAATAATCTTTTATTATGTAAATGATATTAGGTAATCAATCCAAATTTTACAAAATACACAATAAAAATCACGTTATGCAATTTCATCTGATAGCAGAAATAATGCCACACTCGACGATTCACATGCTCAATGACGACGCATGTCAAGTAATCACGAGTTCTTAAATACACTTGAACATTTACATTTATTTTCAAAAATACAGTAACACAGGCACTCTGCAATTTGTGATTATTTTCAAGTGTTAATCAACACTCTTCCAGACCCCCTGCTATCTGCAAGGATAAATAGGACCCTTGGTCTTCAAACGTCACATTCACCGCCACAACATGTATTTGTAAATACCGACAATTTCATCCAAGTTGAAATAAGTTTTGGACGCAAAACAGAAGTGACGATATCTGAGATAGATCAAATATAAAAAAATAATGTTTGTAATTCTTAAACATAAGTAAAAAATCTTTGGATTGAAAAACATACTTTTGGCAAATATGTTTTTACTCTCATTGTTACTAACGGCTGTTCTTTGTATCCCAGTGATAAGTAACCACTTGAATCATTTGGAAAAAACGAAAACAGCGGGCTTTCTTAGTAACACTGAAGACAAAATGGACAAATTAATTGAGAGTCTTAAAAACCTTATCACCGACAATTATTTTGAAGAGAGACAATCAATCTTAAATAAATCATATTCTATTCATTTTGGTGACTATTTAGGTTTATTTAAAAACATGTCATACGAGGAAACTGTAAAATCAAATCATGGGAGCAAACATGATTTCGAAACAAATGTTGCTGGGGATATAGATAAAGACAATGATAGAAGAGGCCTCAACATGCTACTGTCTCATTTATTTGACTATACAGTTGAAGGTATTGATGAAATATTAAGTGAACTTATCTATGCGATCGGTGAAGATGCAGACAAAGATAAAAATCACATACAAGAACATAGAGATATGTTTAAAGCTAGATTGCAAGAAATAGAAGAACTTTTGGAAGTTGGAAATATTACTGTGGAGTCAGGTCAAATACTGAAAAGACCACGTTCGTTTTCAGGTAAATAATATTTAGTTTAATGTATAATTTCTCCATTACAAATGAAAGTTTATTCTTTTTAGCCTATCTTTAAGGACTGTCAGTAACAATGGTCCGGACTGTTTCATACTTTGTAAATCAGTTCATCACATGAACCTTGGTGCAGTAGGATATTGAATGAGTGTAGATTTAATTCTAAATGTATTGGATAAGTTGAATAAAACCATATTATTCGAACCTCTTGCAACCATAATATTGTTTTATTCCAAGTGTTCAAAAAATGAGTATTGAATCTACAAGAATATAATATTCTTTTTTTTTCACATATCCAAAATAAGAACAGTTTACAATTAAAAAAGTTATCTCGAGAGAGATGTCTTCTTCTCTCATTTTTTATTATATACATGGATACAGTAAAATGCTTAAATTTCGAATACCCTTTATATGTGCACACATTATCATAACATGCACCATATTCAAAATTGGAATAAAACAATAAATCTTATATAAGATCTTATAAGAATTATCTTATGAAAAAATCGCAATGAAAACAAATGAGAATTTATTTCTTCCATCTTACAGGGATGGAAATTTATTGCAGTACGTACATTTACAAACTAAGAAATTTCAACAATTCAAAGTATGAAAGATAGTACCATATTGTTAATTCTCTCCATTATAGATCACCAGGGGTCATAACATGCTTGAATAAACACTTTGAGAAAACAAGTATACATTTATTTCACTCTAGGTTATCCAATAAATTATATCTCTTTGTTTTACTAATTTTTGCGTCCATTTCATAGATCTGACCCATAATAGTGCCATAAGAGAACATAAGGTCTTAAACGAGAAGGCGCCAAACCAATGTTGATTGGGTAAACAGATAGGCACTTTGATTATACGATCACCAATCCTCTTCTAGCTGGAAACTGACTGGAGTCAATTGATTTTAAGCACAGCACTTACGCTTTTTATTTCATTATGAACTATAACGTCTAACCTCTAAATTTTAAATAAAGCTAGATTCGGGCACATGAAAAATAAAGTATCATGTAGCTTTTCAAACAAATATCAGACCCTAAATAAATTTGCGCAGAAATAATTTGTATTAACATACGTGACACAACTGAAAATGTACATGAACCCTATATATTTGATCATTCATTTAATATAATATTCATACTAATTACTTTATTTATTAATTAAATAAATTGTTTTTGGAATGCAAACAAAGTATCTTTACTATAAAAATGTCACTGGTTTGTTCAAGTTTACAAATGCTACATACAGTATGTATATAAAGTCTTAAAGACTTGAAGATTACATTTTATAAAAGCTTCTTTGCAGGCTATTTAGATTTCCACTACCAAGGATTGTTATTTGTAAATAGGACTGATTGATGCACATCTGCTCTAAAAACACATCATTATAACCACTGCAATTACATGTACTTTGTAACAATTACAAAAACGTTGGTTATGTTTGTTTTGCTTTTACCTACGCAGAAGTTCGTTAAGTTGGCACTAAATTGTATTACAAATGGTGCGTGATATCATTTGCTTCGATTCCATTGCGGTTAATACCCAAAAGGCTATAGCAATTTTAAGGCATACATTTGTAGTGTGAAAAGGGCATACGCACGTTAATTGCATGGTTTGTTCACTACAATACTGATGATTATGTAATGGTTAAAATGATCAATAATGTTTGTACAAATTCTTTCAAGCTATGCATTTCTACGGAATATAATGATGTAGTGGCTTTCTGTGCATTTCGTTTTTGCTACGTGCAGCGTGATTATTTACAGTTATAGATATTTCCAAGGTGCGAATAGCAAAATGAATATATTTTTTAATAAAACACCTTTTGATTCAAGACAAAAGATATTCAATTTGCTGAGTTTTCACATGTTATTTCACATAGCGATTTATAGACGCTATATAAGAAATATGATTTATAATTGTCAAATAAATATATCAGCTTTGCAATCACATAGCCAAGATGGAAACCAACAAAAGTAGACAGTTCGACACTTTCATATATACAATACATAAACGTATATGTCACTAACATGCTAAAAATTGTCTGTCCGTTTAGTTGTATTAGCGCTTCATGATTTACGGTTAGGGATGAAGTTCAGAGGTTTTTAATAAGTGTTTAATTTTAAGAAAAAATGAATTTTTATCAAAACATATTATTCAAAATTAAGCAGTCTTAGGGTATGTATATTTTGTCTTCTCTGAAACAGGAACACAATGCATACAAACAAAACACACAAACAAAATATCTTGTAAGATGGTTGGATCTTTACAGTATTACCGGACCCATTTGTGATGTAACTCTTTTCTTGTGTGTTATCAAGGCTTTCTTGAAATCTCAGCTAATCTGTTCCATGTGTGTGTAGTACATGGAAAAACAATTTCGTCAGTCATTCACTTTAAAATAAATGATTATATTTTTTATGATTTCTTAATATGTTCAATAACGTACATCAATTTTTAATTTCTGAATTATTCTATAATCTATATTATACCAAAATGCTTTTAAATACTGTAGTGTTGTTAATATTTAGAGATTAGCTCCGCCTACTTGATTAAATATGCACACTCTGAGAACTCTCTCTCAGAGCCCTCTTTGATAGACACTTTACATTATACATGCAATATAGCAAGACCTCTGTTAATACTTCTGTAAATAAATATTAGAATAGTTTATTATATTGAGTTTTCAATACAGTACAATGGCGACGAGGATTAAAAAGAAATAAATGGATTTATATAAGTAAAAATGTTTTACAGGAATTAATCAAATACAGTGAACACTGGATAATTTACACTTGTTGGATTTAAAGTTTAAGACACTTTATCTGGATTTTATTTTGGGCAACCTATGTCCTTATCAATAACACTGATACAGTGACAACATGGCTCAAGGATTACCAGTTTTTCCAGCATTTAGTGTAAAAGAACCAGGCGTTGACACAAGATGGAGGAAATGGTCAGGTCGATTCGAAAACTTAATGATTGGCATGGACATTAAAGACAAAAAACGTCAGAGAGCCTTATTGCTACACTATGCAGGGGAAGAAGTAAATGACATCTTTGACGTACTGCAGAATACAGGGGATGACTACGAAACAGCAAAAATAAAGCTAACAGAGTACTTTGCCCCCAAGAAAAACACAGAATTTGAGATATATAAATTTAGACAGGCAAAACAGGAATCTAATGAAAACATTGATAGTTTCCACACACGTTTAAGACACTTAAGTATAAACTGTGAATTTTCGGAAACAGACAAAGAAATTAAGTCACAAATCATTCAAGGCTGCACCTCAACTCGACTGCGTCGCAAAGCACTACGCGATGACCTGACATTAGACAGTCTCATCAAAGAAGCAAGGACACTAGAACTATCAGATCAACAAGCATCTGAAATTGAAGGTCAAGCAAAATACGACGTCGTTAATGCTATGAAATCACGACAAAGGAAAAATCAAAAGGCGCAAAAAGAAAGACGCAGACACATCATTAATGAATCAATATGCAGATACTGTGGATATGAATATCCTCACATATCAGGAAAATGCCCAGCCAGTGGAAAAACATGTACATTTTGCTCTAAGAAAAATCATTTTGAAGCAGTATGCTTGTCATAGAAACGGGACAATAATTTCACATACAAACTTAATGATAGCTCACAAAGTGATAAGAACAAAGAAAGCGAAGATGAAAACGAAATATATGGACTATCTGTCAATTCCATGCAATTACAAAGACCAAGGCTGAAAGTGCATATCAACGGCTGTAAAATTAAAGCATTAATTGATGCAGGATCATCAATAAATGTAATTGACGAAAACACGTACTCAAAGCTTCAAAATAAAGTTCATCTTAAGAGAGCACACACCAAAGTCTATGCATATGGTGCTAGTAAAGTTACCTTATTAGGCAAGTTCCAAGCACAAATTGAATCTAAAAACAAAATAACAACAGCTCCAGTATATGTGACAAAGGGCGCCAGCGGTAATCTTCTCTCTTATCAGACATCTGTTGACCTCAATATCATTCCAGAAATAAACACAGTCACAGACAGCAAGGTCGATGAACTCTGCAAAAAGTACCAAACCGTGTTCACAGGCATGGGGAAAATGAAAGCAACAAAAGTCAAGCTATATGTGGATAAAAATGTTCAACCTGTTACGCAACCACATAGACGAATACCTTTCCACTTAAGAAAACAAGTTGAAAATGAGCTCCAGAGGCTTGAGGACCTAGATATCATTGAAAAAGTTGAGGGTCCCACAGACTGGGTATCACCAATTGTAGTAGCTCCAAAGCCAAAAACCAACCAAATAAGGATATGTGTCGACATGAGGCTACCGAATCAAGCCATAAAGCGCACAAGACATATTATTCCAACTATTGATGACATGATTGTGGACTTAAGTGGTGCCAAAGTTTTCTCTAAACTCGATTTAAATCATGGATATCACCAATTAGAACTGTCAGAGGAATCACGCAACATTACAACATTTACAACACATGTTGGATTAAGACGATATAAACGCCTCAGTTTCGGAATCAATAGTGCAGCAGAAATATTCCAAAATGCTTTAAGTACGGCTCTAGAAGGTCTGAACGGCGTGAGAAACATTTCCGATGATGTCATTATATGGGCTGCCGACCAAGCAGAACATGACAGAAGACTTGAGGCAGTGTTAAAGCGACTTGAGCAGAAAAACTTAACTTTGAATAAAAGCAAATGTGAGTTTAATAAGCAAAAACTTGAATTCTTTGGGTACATTTTCAGTAAAGATGGAATGTCAGCAGACCCTAAGAAAATTGACACAATTAAAAAGACACAGCCTCCAAAAACAGTTTCAGAAGTCAGAAGTTTCCTAGCAATGACAAATTACGTGTCACGCTTTATCCCAAATTACAGCACTATAGCAGAGCCAATACGTCGTCTGATAAAGAAAAACGCAAAATGGGCATGGAAAAATGAACAAGACGAAGCATTCAACAAACTGAAATCTTTTTTGAGTAGTGATACAGTCATGACATACTTTGATCCTAATAAGGAAACACAAATAATCACAGATGCATCTCCAGTCGGAGTGGCTTCAATTATGCTCCAAGAAGGTAAAGTTGTGTGTTATGCAAGCAGATCACTGACAGACGTTGAACGAAGCTCTTACAGTCAACAAGAGAAAGAAAACTTAGCATTAGTTTGGTCATTAGAACATTGGCACATATACTTATTTGGACATAAATTCACAGTCATAACTGATGCAAAATTCCTTGAGAATATCTACAATAATCCTAAATCAAAACTTGGATCTGCAAGACTGGAACGTTGGAGAATGCGCCTGTTATCATATGACTTCAGGATCGTGCACAAACCTGGAGAATCAAACATGTCAGATTATCTAAGCAGACATCCAGACACAGGACAAGGCAGCAAATCAAGCATAGCTGAAGAATATGTAAGTTTTCTTGTATATCATGATGTACCTGTTGCAATGAACATGAATGAAATTATTCAGGCAACTTCTACGGACAATGACCTCCAAATGGCCATTAAATCCATAAAGACGGGTTGTTGGAGCAACACCAATAAAAATAAAGTATTTGATACGTTCTCTCGCTGTAAGAATGAATTATCGGTAGTAAATCTCAATGGAGGTGAAATCTTACTGCATGAATCAAGAATTGTTATTCCCAGGCAGTTGCAAGATAAAGCGATATCATTAGCTCATGAAGGTCATCAGGGAATTGTTAAAACCAAACAACTTCTAAGAGAGAAAGTGTACTTCCCAGGCATGGATCAACAAGTTGAAAATATGTGCAAAAGCTGCATCCCGTGCTTAGCAGCAACAAATTCAAAACAGCATGAACCTTTAAACATGAGTGATATGCCAAAATACCCATTTCAAATGATTAGTTTGGATTTTTGTGGCCCATTTCCAGATGGAAAATATCTGCTTGTACTAATTGACGAATATTCACGTTTTCCTTTCGTAGAAGTCTTAAATTCCATAACAGGAAATACAGTGATCCCTGTGCTGGACAAAATTTTCTCAGAAACCGGAATTCCTGAAATTCTCAAGTCAGACAACGGCAGTCCTATGAACTCTCACCTATTTAAAAGTTTTGCAAAACACATGGGCTTCAAACATAGGAAAATAACCCCGTTATGGCCACAAGCAAATGCTGAATGTGAGCGATTCATGAAAACCATAGGCAAGTCAATACGAGCTTCTCATGTGCACCATACAAACTGGAAACAAGACATGTATGCATTTTAAGGAATTATAGATCTACACCACATGGGACAACGGCCGAAACTCCTGCACAATTGTTCTACGGAAGGCCTATTAACATCAAAATGCCCATGGTTCAAAAACAAAAGAAATCTGAAAAGGACTTAAAGGCCAGAGAAAATGACAGAAAATCAAAACAAAAAATGAAAGAATACGCTGATAAACGAAGAAACGCTCGAAAAACTGAAGTTAAAATAGGCGACAGTGTGTTAGTAAAGCAGACCAAACAAAACAAACTCACAACTCCATACGACCCTAAACCGTATGAAGTAACAAAGAAAAAAGGATCAATGATAACGGCAGAGCGAGAAGACAAACAAATCACTAGAAATTCATCACATTTTAAACGTGTCGGCAACTCTCAGACCCAAAGTCTAAATGGAAATTCTCCTTTAAATAGCGAATGTGAACACAGCAATACAGAACCAATTTACAACGAAACGACCATAGAATCACAATCCGATGAAAGCACAATGTTTGAAACTTTACCTACATCAAATGAGTATACTTCTTTGCGAAGATCTGAAAGGCACAGAAAACCACCTGACTATTTAAATGATTATATGTGTAAATAGTGTTAAACAGTGGCATAACCCACTAAAAGTTAGCTTCAACAAAAAAACAAACAAATGAGTTTGATTATTTAAACTGTCGGTGTACACAAACATTCTAAACAGGGATTTAATATAACTGCTGATAATCATACAATTCTTTACTATGTGCTTAAATCTCCAGAGGAAAATGGAATACAAGTATAAATGAAACATTCAATTGGCATTTTGATACTTAAACTAATTGTGTATCATTTAGATTCTATCTTCAATCTTTATTCTAATTTGTTTTATTTCATGCTGATAAAACCTGTTTGTATTCTGTAAACATTGAAAATTTACTCAACACAGTTTAGACATTAAGTTAATTTATTGGACTATGGACAGTCAGTAACTTTCTAGACTTATTGCCTCTAGAACATAAACTGAGATTTAATGTGATAGCAATCAAGAGACTATCATTACTGGATATAAAATAATCATTAACTTGTAGTGGCAGCGCCAGCGTGAAATAAACACCTGTGAATCAATGGATATCTGAGACAATAACATTACTGTCAGACAAATAATTAATGTCCTTCATTAGGACTGACCGGTGAACTTTAAACCTAAGCAAGGCGGAGATGTAGTGTTGTTAATATTTAGAGATTAGCTCCGCCTACTTGATTAAATATGCACACTCTGAGAACTCTCTCTCAGAGCCCTCTTTGATAGACACTTTTACATGATACATGCAATATAGCAAGACCTCTGTTAATACTTCTGTAAATAAATATTAGAATAGTTTATTATATTGAGTTTTCAATACAGTACAAATACTTTTTACGTATATGCTTGAATGATATTGATGTAAATGTTGTTGTTATGTATTTTCCTTGTTGATCTTTGGATTCATATATTACCTTGCGTATTGTGCTAATAAATAAGAACGAGCTCGTTACTATATAACAAATATAACATAGAGGACCATTCAGACAGGTAGGACATGTTTCAAGTCATAGCTCCTTGTAGAGTTTTAACTATCATTATAAAAAATGATACTTTCTTATTTCAGATATACCAACAGAAATATCAAATATCAGCAAATATCTTGATGATGGCATCAGGGACAGTGGACATGAAAATATGCTACGGAAGTACGAAGCACGTGGCGCCATATGTGTACTAATTAAGGAGTATAGCGAAATTCCTATCTATGTCATCTCTACCTGTAATCTAAGATTCCCTCGTACCAACCTCTGGTATCTTTGCGAACGGAAATATTCTCTTTCGACTAAGAACTACATCCTTGAAACTCCGGTCCAAGACCAAGAAGGTTTCGTGTATAAAAACGTGTATTGTGCACCGTGTAACAATGCCACTGAAATTTATGCATGGACGACAAAAATAGATTGCGACGAGGTAAAAGCATATCCGCATCTTTCTGATATGACAGACTTATTAAATTCGATAACAGAATTTACCGAAAGCCGTAATGGATGCAAGTTCAGATTAAGTCCAGCAGAACCACACATGATACAACAGTGCTATAACATTGATGTCAGCAACGAAAGGCGGCCCCATAGAAAATTAACTGAGGACAACGAAATCAATAATTTCTCAAATTTTCCATTGCCATTGTCTATATTAATTAACTTTGGATTTAATGGCAAAAAGCATGTTCTCTTGTCTTCTTTAATAAATACACATACTTCACAAATTTTATGTAACAAGAACGAAAGATATGATAAAGAATTTAAAAAATGCAGGCGTATACATTGTTTAGATGGGTACCAACTAGAAGGAGAAACATGTGAAAAGATTGCTAGCAATGATCCCCACTATAAAGACTTGTCAGATATTGACAAACCTATGAATGTTATTCTTACAATAAAAAACGTGACATATGGAGATATCCATAAGTTGAAAATTGCTTATAATAATGGTTTAGTGACCCAGAGTCTTGCACACATTGTTGATATCAGTGTATCTCGAATACAGAATCTAACGATGGGGTCAGTAAACGCTAAAGAATTAAGAAATAGATCTGGCAGTGTGATAGAGTTGCATCGACTCACAATGCCTCGTCTTTTTAAAATATTTTCTAAATTACATCAAGCTGAAACAAATCTGACGCAAACAATGGGAAAGATCTCAACCAAATTTCATTCTACCGCTGATAATGGCAACGGATCCCGACAAACTGACTTAGCAATAAAAAAGACGCTAAGCCCAATTATAGTTTTCTATGATGAAATGTTTCAACCGGAAAACCATGAAGCATTTTCTAAAGTGGAAAATGAGACTGAAGAAGTGACAAATAATAATATAAAGCTAAGTAAAAGAGAAAAACTGAAAAGAAAGCCATTCAATGCTAGCGATCGGTCCAACGATCAAAGCCAGTTTAAGCAAAAACCAAACAGAGGTGTTATTATCGAAACAAATAATTTATTAACAAGATCAAGACCGCCCTGCATGTCGATTGGCATATCTTTTGTTCTTACTCCAGCACGTAAGAATAGAACTCTTCAAAAGTCCGTTCATAAAGTCGTGCAGTCAATGAGTAATTTGATAAATAGCGATACCTTTAGTTTGAATATCAGTGGTGTAAATTTTAAAGTTCATGAAGTTGAAAACACACCTCAAGGTATATCAGTTAACAATGTCTGTAAGTACGGAAGATTAACTATATTAAATGATACTGAATTCTACTACAGGGAATATGAGAATGAAACAATAATAATTGAAAACGAAACAGGTGTCAGGTACTTTCCTCAAGAATTCAACTTGTCTATAAGAATTGAATTCCGTTCTGGTAACTTAAGTCGAATTGAAAAGAACTCGACAGTCTGCAAGATGCCTAAGATTTCAAATGTCAAATGTGGGCGTATTGTCCTCTACAAGCACGAGTATAAATTATTCAAAAACAAATCTATTGAATTTGAAAACAGTTTATATAACATGAGTGAGTATGAATATGTTAACATACAAGAGGGCGTTGTAAGTATTTGCACAACGCCTGGCTTTGTTGAAATCGAAAATGCTTGTTACGATGATTTATTCAAAGTGGTTATTGCTGAGAGTTACCTTACTTTCATACTTGGAGTTATCTCTCTTATTTGCATGTTATCAGTACTAGTGACGTACGGATTGTTTAACAAATTGAGGAATTTACCAGGTGTTAATACGATGAATCTGACTTTTTCTCTGTTTATGGGAGAGCTGGTCTTCATAACATCAGGGTGGATTCGACCATATCAAATCTGGCTGTGTTCCGCAGTCGGAATGGTTCTACATTACTTGTTTCTGGCTGCATTCTTCTGGATGAATGTTATGTCATTTGATGTATTCAGGACATTTGGTAATAAGTGTATTCTGAAGCGAGTCCGCAAAAAGAAGAAATATCTTCCGCGTTACCTGCTTTATGCGTGGGGCAGTCCTTTCCTAATTGTTACTTTATGTGGAGTTCTAGACTATACTGACCTTGTGAAAGGAGTTAAAATGGGGTATGGCGGAAACTTCGTTTCAAATGCTGGAATGAGTCCGGAACACGAACTTGAAAATACATCCTCTTCAAATAATTCTTCAAGCAGACATGTTAGCAGCATCGGATGTTGGATTCAGCAACCACTGGCATCGATGGCCGCGTTCGGAGGACCCATGATTCTAATTTTAATAGGGAATACAGTTATGTTTATAAGAACAATCATCTGTATCCGGGCAAGCACCAAGGGTTCAAGATTGAGTGTGTGGAGACCGTCTTTGAAAAGACTTGTTACTGGCAGACACGACGTAATGTTATATGTCCGGATGTCCTCGGTTATGGGGTTTACATGGGTTTTCGGGCTTGCATCATCAGTATACAGTGCGGTTGGTGATCCTACTTCTCGCACTACTTGTATCGTGTTACACATATTTGGGATTTTATTCATTGTCTTCAATTGTTCACAGGGTATTTTCATCTTCTTCGTTTTTCTATTAAATCGGAGGGTACTAGCAATGTACAGAACATTGTTCGGAAGAATCAAAAATAAAAAGTCAATTCCGATGTCCGTAAACTCAAGGGCAACTTTAAATGTTCCGACCGGTCAGTTGTCGCTTACGCACATTGCATAAATAAATCAATTGTTACTATCCAACAAATGTCCAATAGAAACGGTAGATAATTTTTCCATAGTTTCAACATGTGACCAGTTACCTACCCCGTTTTCTGACAGGATATGCCAATCGACATAGTTACCAGACTCTATACAAGTGACATGAATTTGCCAATATGAACATTGTCTGTTTATTTGCTGTGGCGTTTCGGTGAAAATCTAATTGGTCTTTATCTATTAAGATATTCAAGTGGTAATTCTGTGTTAACCAAATCTTGCTGTCTGTATCATCTGAACTGCTTCTTCCCTAAGAGTTATTCGCTACTAAGAAAGTCCATGGAAGTGTCAGTCTTGATTT